CGAGCCGGGGCTGGGAACATGGCTTTGGCGGCCGGAGGCCGCTGGCTTGGCCTGCAGGAACCACCACACCTCTCCCCGCGGAGGGCCTGGGAGGGCGGCCGCCCCAGGAGAGGCAGCAGGCGAGAGGCAAGTGTGCTTTTAGGGAGGCTTGGAGGCTGCCATTTCTCGCTGGCTTGGAGGACAGTGGAAAAAGAGAGGTGGAGGGAGGGATGCAGAGCGTTCGCTGGCGTCTCCCTTCCCTTGCCTAGCCAAGAAGTTTCCCCATCGCCTCCGGTCTTGGAGACACCGTCTTGTTTTCTGGAAGACCTCGCCTGAGCCCGTGAGGGTTCATGCGGAGGGCTCCCCGGGCCCTCGTACCGCCCGAGCCCTCACCAGCGCCCATCCCTTGGCTCCAGGAGGTGTGAACTTTCTCCGCTTTCACTTTTGGTTTTTTGGTTTGAGGGATCACCGCTTTGGTGCTGGAGTGTGGCCGGTTCTGGTAGCTCACCAGCCACGTCCCTGCCAGCTTGGTTGAGGTAGCTGGGGTTGGGCATCTGTCTTCTGATGATGGTCTGTCTTGGGTGGCATGGGTTTTCGCCATGAGATGAACTTGAAGAGCCAGAACTTCCTTTCCCCTCAGCAGCTTTTGGGTCCTGAGTCACGTCATCTGCTCCCCGTCCCCGACCCGGGGGGTCCCGGGAGAGGTTCCCTCAAGTCCGGGCAGAGAAGCCTCTACGGGGAGAAGGTGGTGGTGGTCTCGGCCTCCACACTCATTGAGGAGCGCCGGGTGTGCCGGCAGGAAGACCACTGCCGCAGCCGCTCCTGGCTGAGGCAGCCCAAGTCCTTGAAGAGCTTGAAGAGGTCGTTGCGGAACTTGACGCCGATGAAGGCGTACAGGAAAGGGTTGACGCAGCAGCGCACGCTGGCCAGGCTGTAGGTGATATCGTAGGCGATGTTGAGCTGCTTGCTGAGCTCACAGGTGGTGGTGCTATTGGCGTTGGCCACCGTCTTGGCCAGGACCACCCCGTTGTAGGGCAGCTGGAAAGCGATGAAGACCACCACCACGGCGATGATCACCTTGATGGCCTTGTTGCGCTCGAAGTTGCGCGCCTGGAGCAGGGTGCGGATGATGACCAGGTAGCAGAAGCTCATGGCCACCAGGGGGATCAGAAAGCCCACCACCATCTGGGCCACCTGGATGGCGATCAAGGCCTCCACCTGGTCGGTGACGAGAGAGCACCGAAAGGCTTGCTCGCTGTTGCTCCTCAGGATGTTGCTGAACAGCATCTCTGGGATGGAGAGCACCGTGGCCAGAACCCAGATGCCCACACAGGAGAGCTTGCTGATGAGAAGGACGCGGGCCCGGTGCCGGTGGGCCGAGACGGCCTGCACGATGGCCACGTAGCGGTCGATGCTGATGCAGAGGAGCAGGAGCATGCCGGTGAAGAAGCTGATCTTGTAGATGGCAAAGATGAGCTTGCAGATGTTGACACCGAAGACCCAGGACTTGGCGGCGCTGTAGGCCCAGAAGGGAAGGGTCAGGAGGAAGAGGATATCCGCCACGGCCAGGTTGAGCAGGTAGGTATCGGTCATGGTCTTGAGCCTCTTGAAATAGATGTAGGTCAGCACGACCAGCGCGTTGCCCAGCAGACCCACGAAGCAGATGACGGAGTACATGGCTGGGAGGAACCAGGCCTTAAAGTCCCGCACTTCCTTCTTGTCGCACACGGACTCGAACAGGGTGTAGTCCACCGTCGTGTTTTCTCCGATGTAATCGTCCGTGACCTCATCTTGGCACAGGCACACCTGTGGGGAAGGGAAACAGGGAAACACGATCCAGCTTAGCTGAGTGGGTCACAATCTCGCTGACCTGGGATTGCCCAGAGCCGTGGCTTCAAAGTGTGGTCCCTACCGTCAGCATCATCACCATCACCATCACCATCACCATCACCATCACCATCACCATCACCATCACCTGCACGTTCTTGGACCCCACCTGACACCTCCTGCACCAGAATCTCAGGGAGTGGGGCCCAGGACTCAGTTTTCCTGAACTTTCCAGGTGGTTCTTTGTTTGAAACCAACAATGTGCTGACAGTGGACTGGAAATAGTCTGGCTTTGAGGTCAACCGAGCCGTGAGATGGTTAAACACACTGCATCTCTCTGAGCCTGAGTTTTCTCCTCTGTGAAATGGAGACGAACACCATCCCCTTCATGTGGTCGTTGTGCGGTACCTCTCCCAGGTTAGGCACCCACTGGTCTCCGCAGAGGGGTTATTTTGTGGGAGCCAGTCTTTCTTCTTGCGCCTCCTTCAGAACCTGGCGGAAAGAGCTTTCCAGAAGGGAGCCTACACAGCACCTCAGCTTTGGAGGGAAAATCCACCTGGACGTTAAGGTTGAGCAGAGCCTGGAGTGAGGAGAGAGGAAGGCAAAGGCTCGCTCTGGTGTGGGACAGGCTGCCGTGACTATGGATGGCGAGCGACTTGAAGACTTTTATGGACCCCGGGGCCCGGGACACAGTGCTGGGGACACAGCAGGGCTCAGGCAACGCGTGCCCAGCGCACTGAACTCCGCGGCAGGGCCACCGCCTCCTCAGCTGTGATCGGTCCCCTTGGAGCCTCGGAAGGAAGCACAGCTCTGTCTCCCGCCATCTCCTCCCACCTCTCTGCCTCTCTCTTCCTCGCAGTCTCCAGGCAGATTCCCGACCAGCAGGCTCTGCTCGGGGCTTTTGAAAGCCTGTCTGCAGAGCAGGTGAAGTTTGGGCGGCCTGCTGTGAGTTTA